AGTGGCAGCCACAAACTTGATCTTCCCAGGGGGCTTTACCTCGTCAAGCAAATCTGCCCGCGGAGTCATGTGACTTGTGCAACCTGAATCAATCACCCAGTGAGTGAGGGGGTGCATCACAACCTTCCCAACAAAACCCACATCACTCTCACTCTTTTTCACATCTTCAACCATGAGGAACATCCCAGGGGAGGCTTTACCTTGTGCACCTGAACCTTGCACAGCGCCACCTCGTGCACGTTCACCACTCGGCGGCTTCATGCCTGGGGGTACCCATCCCTCAGGGCGGCTGAAACATTTGAAACATGGGTGTCCAGCCTTCTTGCAGTACCAGCAAGCTCCCTCCATTCGAGTGCTCCCCCTGCCACCAGAGCTCCCATGCCCCTCATTGTAGTCACCTCGGCCTCTCCCTCTGCCAAAGCCTCTCCCACGGCCTCGGCCTCTCCCTCCCCCTCTTCCTCTGCTGCCTCCTGCAGATCCATACCCCTCAGTAGTTTTGTTGACAGCACCACCTCTCGTGTGGCATCTGCGAAAGTCCTCCTGCAGAATCTGCTGCTGTAGCCACTCTGGCGTCCATTGGTCCTGCTGAGCGTTGAGGGTGGGGATGAGGTTGTCCCACGAGTTGTCGAGCACCGAGATGATCTTGGTGCACTGCTGCATCTGCGACACCTTGCTGCCCGCCGCTGCCATCCCCGCATAAGTGTCTTTGATATTGTCGAGGACCAGCTTCACATCGTCTCCCGGTCGCATGGAGATGGACGCCAGTGTCAGAATGTTATTATTGTCTAGCCTGTAGTGGGGTGCTCTATAGCGAGTACAACCCAGTTAGGGTTTGCTATATGTACCCCAACTGCTGCTAGTGAAATCCTCTCTCCTTTCAATCATTCTTGCCTAGTTCTTTTAACATGCTATCAGAGCAGGTCGACCCTCTTGGGTCGATCCTGTGGGTGGGCCCGCCACCTAACTGCTTCCGCTGCTATTCTGCTTCTCGCACGCCTCGGGCGCGCGCCGTCTTCTTCCTGCCGTGCGCTCAGGGCGTACGGCGGTTTTCTGCCCGCCGTGCGCCCCGAGGCGCGCGGCGGTTTCCTGCCCGTCGTGGCGCCCCCGAGGACCTGCGCGCTGCCCCCCGTCGTCCTCCTCCCGTCGCCTCGTCGCGGCGCCCTGGGGGCCCGCGCGTCCCCCCCCTCCCGTCGCCTCGTCGCGGCACCTTGGGGGCCCGCGCGCCGCCCCCTCCCGTCGCCTCGTCGCGGCACCTTGGGGGCCCGCGCGCCGCCCCCTCCCGTCGCCTCGTCGCGGCGCCTAGGGGGCCCGCGCGCGGCCCCTCCCGTCGCCCGTCGAGCCGCCCTCGGGGGCCCGTGCGCGGCCCCCCTCCCGTCACCCGCCGTGGCGCCCTCGGGGGGCCCGCGCCCTGCTTCTTCGTGGCGCCCAAGAGCCACCCCGCTGCCTCCCTTCCCCTCCGTGCCCCGCCCCTGCTGTTTCCCGTGCTCCTGCCTGCGTTAGGGTTTGGGGGTGGCGGGCATGGGGGTGACCGGTGTGGGTAACCTGCGGCTTCTCCTCCTCCTCCGTCTCCCACTGCTGCAGCTGCCGCTGAGGGGGGTGGGTGTGTGGGAGCCGAGGGTTTAGGGTTTAAGGGGGGTGCCGTGGAAGTGGAGCTAGGGTGTCAGCAGGGGGTGTGTGAGAGGGGCGTGGGACGGTCGGGGGAGGTTGCGTGGAGGTAGCCGTCGTGACGCCAGCAGCGCCAGTAGTCCGGATGCCCTCGCGCGTTTCGGTAGCCCAGCGAGCCTGCTTCGCCAGTCGCCTGTGGGTCCGTTGCTCCTGTGTGTGCTCGTCGTAGCCGCGGAGCCAGATACTCCCGTAGTCCGGTGCCCTCGTGCGCTCGGTAGCCACTGTGCGCGCCGCTCCTGTTGCCCGTGTGTCTGCAGCTTCAGTCGGCGCCTTTCATCTTCTCGCCCTCACAGTTTCTCCTCCTCCTCACTTGCCCTCTATGATCACCTCTAGCTTTGCTTATAATTGTGAACTATTGCTATGCCTGCTCATTGTACTGATTACACCCCACTTTGGCTATGGGGGTGTGTCAGAATGTTATTATTGTCTAGCCTGTAGTGGGGTGCTCTATAGCAAGTACAACCCAGTTAGGGTTTGCTATATGTACCCCAACTGCTGCTAGTGAAATCCTCTCTCCTTTCAATCATTCTTGCCTAGTTCTTTTAACAGCCAGCTCCTTCTCCAACACAATCACCATCGGCAGCGTGTTGGGCTGAATCACATCACGCAGTAGCTTCCACACCTTCGGTCCCGAGTCGTCGAGCTCCACCAGATCTTTGATGTGCTGGAACATGTCGTTGTTGACCGATTGGAGGATGAGGTCGTACAGCACTGTGCTCTTCTCAATCCAACGATTGCGGGCATCTCCTTCCTCTGGCATCTTCTCTTCTCCCATTGCAATTTTCAGCAGCTTGTAGCGCATGAAAGCACTCCTCATCCGCCCACTCCATTCCTCGTAGTTGGAGCCATCCAATGCCTCAATCTTGGATGGTGGCGGCTCACTCCTCTTTTCAGCTGCATCTCCACTCCCTTGACGCATCTCCTCTGCTTCCAATCACAGGTTTAAGCTCCCCCTTCGCTGGTCACAATGTAGGTCCATGAAATCTTCACAAGTGTCGACGCCAACGAAATTTCGGCAGAGTTTCCCCTTAGCGGAAGTCACATCCAACCTCTAGAACTCCACTTAGGCACGCCCACAGGCCATGGTGGGTCTAAGAGGGTCTTTACACCTCAGTAGACTCTTCACAAAGTCCTTAATCAGCTCTGATACCACTTGTTAAGATTAAGGACCGAGTCTAGAACGTTTAGGGGCCGAAATATCACAAAATCGTTGGTCTATAATTCTGGACAGAAAATTCATTCACAAGAAACGCCGTCGACGAAACAACAACCGTCAGAATTCTCTCAAAATCGAGTATGTTGTATCCCTTGACTGTGGCTATCTTTCCCAAATTGAATCGTATCAAACGATAGAGCATAACTTGAGTTATGAAATTCGGCGCACTAGAGGGTAAGCTGCCACAGAAACTTAACTCAATCACAATAGTTCACAAGTACCACAAGGAGGATTAGAGTAGCAATAAACCAGGTAGGAGGGGAGAGGAGGACGAGAGGGAAGGTCCCAAGGGAGTCTTCAACCAAGGAAGCCCCATAAGCACACAATTCCCTCCCTACAGGAACCCCAACTTTGACCCTTGTCATTTTCCCAACCTCTCAAATCCACCTCACTCCAACTTGGCCTGACTTGCCAACCTGGTTTGGCTTCTCCCAACCACTTGGCAGCAACTACAGTAGAATGTCGAGTTTTCCAACCCCCAAATGTCTGTACCCCATATAGAGTCAACCCCGCAACTTCCCATAGTCGCCGCAACAATATTTCAAAAGCATACGAACTTCAACCGTTCGTAACTTTCTCGTCCATGCTCCGATCGCGACGATTCTTGGCTCGTCGGAAAGCCCTTGAACCGAGAAGTTATTTCAGATATCTGCTCAAGCCAAATAACATTCACACACACTCAGGAAATCCAAACCACGCCAAACATGCATTCTTGCACACGCTCACACCACGCATGCAACGCACGAACATATGATGGGAGGCAGACAGACGTGAATGCATATGGTTGCATCACACAACATTTTTGACCTGGCACCTGCGCAATATGCCTGACGGTGAAACCGTCGACCAGCACCTACTTAGTAGGCGCACACATGTGCGCAGATAATCACATGCGACTGCAGATAGTCACCTGCGACTGCAGATAGTCACATGCGACTGCAGATAGTCACCTGCGACTGCACTGGTGGCAGACCGCATGCAGTGCAACGCTGGAAGACCGCTCTGCTGCAGCGTTGGCAGGCCGCTCTTCTGTTGCACTGGCAGAGTTCGCCCTGCAGAGTGCTTGGTAGGTGTTGCATGCCATTCTTTCTATATCGACTTGCATGCCTCAATTGTAATTTGATGTTCTTCCAATTTTCATAGTGGAACTCTTGCCAACTTCTCTGAGAATACAGCAAGTAGTAAGGATGCTAGTGCAACGCTACGATCATTCGCATAACCCCGTGCCCTCCTCCGTATTCCACTTCTGTTGTGTAGTGACTCTCCGCAGTTCTCGTCAAGATCCCGTCCTCTTTGGGGGGCGCCGCATTCCATTCCCATGGAAGGTGCTAGCCTCCCCTGTGCCGGCTGCAGAAACTGCATCCTTTTCCGACAAGAACCTGGATTCTCGATGGAGTCGGTGAGGTGATTGTCCGCCTGTCGAGAGGCTTCTACGCGTCGAGTAGCGCGTTGTGACCGTGGGGACGTGCCTTGACCACTTGGCAATGGTACTGGACCAGCTCCGTTCTTGCCTGACATGTCGGCGTGTTGTCCCCGCGGCTGTCGCAATCGGAGCAGGCGGCTGTTGTGAAGGCTGCGACGGAGGTGCTACGGTCCCTCTCGCAGATGGGCCTAGAGACAGGCTCGCCTGGTGTTGACTTTGGTCCTGGGCCGTCCGCATTGAGACGGCTGGCTTCTTCCGCTCGGCAGGCGCCACTCGACCTCGTGCCAGTTGCCGCATCCGTGTTGCACTGGATGGACGGGCGGCTGGTTTGGATACTCGCTGAGTAGCTGCAGTTTCCAACCTGCTTGTTCTTGGGCTTGGATTTGGGCTTCCCCATGGTGGTCTAATCTCGTCTAGGGGTGCTGTAGGTGTTGCTGGTAGCTACTTCACCAGGTTGTATCTCTCCATGTTACGGTATGGTGCTTGTTGTTCCCCTTGTACTTGCAGAGGTCCCTAGGGCCTAAATACTAAGTTGGAGAGGGCTGGACAATAAAGTGCAGGCTTTGCTTTCCCTCCAACGACTATTCCATGGACTTAGTCATCCAGTACTGCGGCACAATTGTGAGCCATCAATATCCAGCACAATCTCCAAAGCTTTTGGTGCATACGCCAACCAGCGAATATCTCAACCATGTGTCAAGAAACAGTGACACTATTAGTAGAAGAAGCAATCTTCTCAGCTGTGTCCTGCGCCCGAGCTATCTCAGCATTGAAATCAAGGTGAGATGAGATGTCCATCTCCTTGTCAATGCGGGATGCAATGCTCTTCACCCTGTCGCCAACAAACTCCTCTTTCATCTTCACCAGATCCACCAATACTTGACCCATGGTGGGGCGGGAGGCAGTGGGCATGGCAGTGCAGGCGAGGGCCAAGCGAGACATGCGCAACACCAAGTCATCAAAAGCATCCAAGTGAGGGTCCTTGAATGCTGCCACATCACTAGATGCGACCAATGGCGCCACCTGCAGGAAAAGATGACACAGTGAGTTTGGGAAGGTGATGGATTTTGGGATTTCAGGTTGGTTCGACCATTTTGATGAGATACACCCCTTCTGGTCCGGCGACAATCACCTGAGCTGGGACATGCTGATACAATAGCTAGGAATATATCTCAACTTAGACTCATTGGCATGACAAACAATGCCACGTATTCTAACACACCCGAAATGCCTAGGTGATAACACAATTGTAAAAAAACTGAGAGTAATTGTAAGTGCAAGACTTGAAATAAGTTAGCTTTGAATTTTGCATGTAGATGACCTACTCTTCAACTTCCCTTCCCATGCAACCAAGGTATGAGAGTATGCTCATCACACAAATGTGACAATCAGCACTTACCCATTGCTTAAGGCTGATCTGATTCTCTTCGGTCACGTGGATGGCCTTGCGTGCCGTGATTACCACCAGCATCACCACTCTGAAGCTGCCAGAGACAAGACCACACAAAGAATTTTGTAATAATGTTAAATCTTTTCACTCCTAGTACCGGCTGTTCACATTCTGTTGTCAAGTGCACACAAGCTGCAAACTCACCTGTGCACATCTGCAGCTGGAGTGGCCTTGTGTGTTTTGTAATAAGCGGGGTCCACATAGCCCGGTGTGCCCATCACTCGAGTGGCCGCCACAGAGGTGCCCGTGGATGTGCCTCCACTCAGCTTCACCAGCCCAAAGTCCGCAATCTTGGCCTGCCACAAATGGCAACAATAATAAAGGTAAACGATTTTGCAAACAAACAATGAATGGCTGCGGCACGAAATACTGCAAAGAGTTGTAGGGAGGAACAAGAAGAGCAGATAATGCGATCCGATATACAAGAAGAGCAGTCTTGGTGCACGATTGCAACAACGACACACGCACAACTCCTTGCCTGCATATCTGTATCGAGGAGAATGTTGGCTGGCTTGATGTCGCGATGCACAATGCCAAAGTCATGAAGGTACTGCAGCCCCTTTGCCACACCAATAAGAACATCCAGACGTTGATGCAGGGAAAGAGGGCGAGAGACACCCGGCCCGATCCAGCTTTCGAGGTCGTTGTTCTCCATGCACTCATACACTAGGATCTGCTCCATGCATCTTGTGGTTGTGTTCATGTCAATGCAGTACCCCAACAGCCGTACCAGATGATGGTGGTGCTTGCTGGCCATTTCTTGCACCTGAGAGTGGATAGAATCCAATGGTACAAGCATGGATGATGAAAGCCATGTATTGGAAGAAGCATGAAAGAGCATCAACATTGGTGCAAGTGCAGACAATGGTGGAACAATTAAGCAGTGCAGTACCTCTCTGTGGAAGTCGTTGGTGAGCACTCGGGCCCTTTTGACGGCCCAAACTTGAGTGCTGCAATGAGGCGACACACCCTTGTACACATCACCAAAACTGCCACTGCCAATTCTGTTCCCCTCCGCCCAGTCCGCCGTTGCCTTAGCCAGCTCTTCCAGCGAGTATTCGTGGCATACATGTGGCCGTGCTGCCTCTGGATCCACCACCACACCTCCCTCCTTTCCTCCTGCTGCTGCTGCTGCTGCTGCTGCTGCTGCTGCTGCTGTTGCTGCTGCGGACATGCCTGCTTCCTTCATGCAACCTCTCCTGTCTAGCAGCACGCCAGTCAGCAGCAGTAGCAGCAGGGCACACACGGCAGCAGCCACAATGCCAGCAATGGCTCCTGTTGACAGACCACCTTCAGATTGGAAGGGTGAAGCTCCAGGCGGTGGGGGGAGATGCCACTGGCGCGGGGGAAGACGATGAGGAGAGTGGTTATTGAAAAAAGGAAATATCACGTGAAGAATCAAGTCGCACAAAGATTGTGAGGTCGAGGTTGCATGAAAGAAAATAAAGGGAGCCCAAAGCATGGAGATACACGCGGCAATACTCTAGCTGCTACATTCGTCCAGTTAGACTACTCCAAGAGAAAGCCAATGGTTTTTCCTCACGTGGTGTTGTGATGGAGCAAGTATTGCAGAAAGAGTCGCATTCTTTACAGAAGGCACTCCAGGTGGTCTGTTTGACTCCACAACTGTCATAATTAGGTGGACATGTGAGGTCATTTTGTGATACATCCCTGAAGGGACAAGTGGTATATTTCATGGATAAAGGATAAGGGAAGATGAGAGAGAAATGGAAGGTGGGAAATTTTGAAAAACACACACACACTGGAAGATGACGAGAAGAAACACATGCAAGCAAGAGATGAAAGCATCGACATGAGGTGTAATATTGTTTAACACTTTCGGCTAACCAAGTCTGGTTACGTAGCACCGTTGTTTTTGTGCTTCATCAAAGTCCTTTCTCATGTGGAGGTCACTGGTTCTTAGGTTGTACAAACGGGCCATGATGGGAAGTTTGAAACATTGTTGCTGACATCCAATGGTGAACTGATAACTTAGTCTCGCATGGTATTCGGTATCCGTTTAAGAAACCTGATTCAAATTTACATACTAGTCGCACGTCTTCAGTCGTCAAACATCATCTTCAGCTAAAAATTCGGGCATTTGAGAGACATTCCTGTTCAGCGTGGATTATAATATATTCCTCTTTGAGCCTGTTACACGAGCACTTCACGACCAATACATTGTAACTTATGACTCGTATTCGTTCTTACTGGCTTAATCAATGGTGAAAAACATTGAGATAGCTGAAATGTGGATACTGACAAATGTGCCAGATTGATCAAGCCGCCAATGGCTGGTGGAATGGATCCATTCATGTTGTTTGCGCTCAAATCCCTGATAGGGCAAAAAGTGCATTCCATGTAACAGATTACGTTAGAGTAGGAGAGAGCGAGACCAGAGACAAGCAGCAGAAACAAAAAGTAGATGGTTGCCTAATGCGCACATCATGAAGGAGACTTGATTAGCATGCCTTCTGTACCTGCAAACAAGGAAAGAAAGGTGCTACGGTGGTTAACTGACAGGGCTATCAGCTTGCTCAAGCTGCCGATGGCTGATGGAATTGACCCGGTGAAGCCATTTCTGTGCAAGTCCCTGAACAAAGACGTAGGTAATACCATGGATCAAGAAGGGGGTAAGAGGATGGAACGAAGAAAACGGAGCTATTTCTTCCGTAGTTGGCCCAAGTCCCTGAACAAAGACGTAGGTAATACCATGGATCAAGAAGGGGGTAAGAGGATGGAACGAAGAAAACGGAGCTATTTCTTCCCTAGTTGGCCCTAGTTCCCTAGTCGAGGCGCCCTGGGGGCCCGCGAGCCGCCCTACCCGGCGCCCATAGCAGCTCCCCAGGGACCCGCGCCCCGCCCCCCTTCCGCTCGCACGCCGCCCCTACGCGCCGCCTGCGTTTAGGGTTTGGGGGTGGCGGGTATGGGGGTGCCGGGTGTGTGCGCCGTCCCCTCCTCCTCCTCCTTCTCCGTCTCCCACTGCTGCAGCTGCCGCTGAGGGGGGTGGGTGTGTGGGAGCCGAGGGAGTGGCGCTAGGGGGGTGTAGTGGGAATGGAGCTAGGGGTGCAGCAAGGGGGTGTGTGAAAAGGGGGTGGGACAGCGGGGAGAAGTTGAGAGGAGGCCGTCGACTTGTCGTCCGCAGCGCCTGAAGTCCAGGGAGCCACGACCCCCTGTGGCCTGAGTAGTCCGGGGCTCTGCGCCCGGTAGCTACAGTGTGTGCACTCCTGGGAGCACAGCGAGCCAGCTGCGACCCCCTGTCGCCGTGTAGTCCGGGTTTAGCCTGGTAGCGACAGTGCGGCACACTCCTGCTGCCCGTGTGTCTGCAGCTTCAGCCGTCGCCTCTCATCTTCTTGCTCCCACAGTTTCTCCTCCTCCTCACTTGCCCTCTGTGATAGCCTCTAGCTTTGCTTGTATTTGTGAACCTACTGCTCTGCCTGCTTGTTGTGTTGATTGTACCCCACTTTGACTATGGGGGTGTGTCAGAATGTTATTGTCTAGCCTGCAGTGGGGTACTCTATAGCGAGTACAGCCCTTCTAGGGTTTGCTATATGTATCCCTATGCTTGTTAGTCAAAATTCTCTTTTGCATATTTCTCGTTTTTGCCTAGCCTGTTTAACACATACCCCTCAGCAGTTTTGTTGACAGCACCACCTCTTGTGTGGCGTCTGCGAAAGTCCTCCTGCAGAATCTGCTGCCGTAGCCACTCTGGCGTCCATTGGTCCTGCTGAGCGTTGAGGGTGGGGATGAGGTTGTCCCACGAGTTGTCGAGCACCGAGATGATCTTGGTGCACTGCTGCATCTGCGACACCTTGCTGCCCGCCGCTGCCATCCTCGCATAAGTGTCTTTGATATTGTCGAGGACCAGTTTCACATCGTCTCCCGGTCGCATGGAGAGGGCCGCCAGCTCCTTCTCCAACACAATCACCATCGGCAGCGTGTTGGGCTGAATCACATCACGCAGTAGCTTCCACACCTTCGGTCCCGAGTCGTCGAGCTCCACCAGATCTTTGATGTGCTGGAACATGTCGTTGTTGACCGATTGGAGGATGAGGTCATACAGCACCGCGCTCTTCTCAATCCAACGATTGCGGGCATCTCCTTCCTCTGGCATCTTCTCTTCTCCCATTGCAATTTTCAGCAGCTTGTAGCGCTTGGAAGCACTCGTCATCCGCCCACTCCATTCCTCGTAGTTGGAGCCATCCAATGCCTCAATCTTGGATGGTGGCGGCTCACTCCTCTTTTCAGCTGCATCTCCACTCCCTTGACGCATCTCCTCTGCTTCCAATCACAGGTTTAAGCTCCCCCTTCGCTGGTCACAATGTAGGTCCATGAAATCTTCACAAGTGTCGACGCCAACGAAATTTCGGCAGAGTTTCCCCTTGGCGGGAGTCACATCCAACCTCTAGAACTCCACTTAGGCACGCCCACAGGCCATGGTGGGTCTAAGAGGGTCTTTACACCTCAGTAGACTCTTCACAAAGTCCTTAATCAGCTCTGATACCACTTGTTAAGATTAAGGACCGAGTCTAGAACGTTTAGGGGCCGAAATATCACAAAATCGTTGGTCTATAATTCTGGACAGAAAATTCGTCGATTTCACAAGAAACGCCGTCGACGAAACAACAACCGTCAGAATTCTCTCAAAATCGAGTATGTTGTATCCCTTGACTGTGGCTGTCTTTCCCAAATTGAATCGTATCAAACGATAGATCATAACTCGAGTTATGAAATTCGGCGCACTAGAGGGTAAGCTGCCACAGAAACTTAACTCAATCACAATAGTTCACAAGTACCACAAGGAGGATTAGAGTAGCAATAAACCAGGTAGGAGGGGAGAGGAGGACGAGAGGGAAGGTCCCAAGGGAGTCCTCAACCAAGGAAGCCCCATAAGCACACAATTCCCTCCCTACAGGAACCCCAACTTTGACCCTTGTCATTTTCCCAACCTCTCAAATCCACCTCACTCCAGCTTGGCCTGACTTGCCAACCTGGTTTGGCTTCTCCCAACCACTTGGCAGCATCTACAGTAGGATGTCGACTTTCCCAACCCCCAAATGTCTGTACCCCATATAGAGTCAACCCCGCAACTTCCCATAGTCGCCGCAACAATATTTCAAAAGCATACGAACTTCAACCGTTCGTAACTTTCTCGTCCATGCTCCGATCGCGACGATTCTTGGCTCGTCGGAAAGCCCTTGAGCAGAGAAGTCATTTCAAATATCTGCTCAATCCAAATAACATTCACACAAACTCAGGAAATCCAAACCACACCAAACACAAATTCTTGCATACGCTCACACCACGCATGCAACGCACGAACATATGATGGAAGGCAGACAGACGTCAATGCATATGGTTGCATCACATAACAAACTCCCCCTCTGGCTGCCAACCATCATCCCACATGCTATAAATTAAGCATGCACCCTCAATGCTCATTCATCCCAGCAAGTTTCATGCCCTTCTAGTGTTCAGATTCAGCCAGGCGCTTGGTGAGAATGTCAGCCGCCTGCTGCTGGGTCTTCACAATCTCCAGCCGGGTCCAGGAGCCTCCTCACCCAATGCCACTTGGGCCTGATGTGCTTTGTCAGGCCATGAAGACAAGCATTCTTGGCCAACTTCACAGCGCACTCATTGTCACAGAACATCACAGTCGGGGCCATGATGCAGGGCCATGTACTCTGTCTCACACGAAGACAGCCCCACCTCATTTTGCTTGTTGCTGCGCCAGCTCACTGCACCACCTCCAAACAGGCACACATAGCCTCCAATGCTGGTGCCATCTGCCTTCACAGAGTTGAAGCTAGCATCAGTGTAGTAAGTCAAGAGCATCTCCCCCTTGCT